GAAAAAGGGGCTTTAGTCCCGGCTCACCAACCGGGACAACAAAACTGGGACTAAAAACCCCTACCCTTTTGTGTCATGCATGACAATAAATGAGACCACCTAAGATACCAGTCTATGATACTACGATATGCATTACGAAGATAGATATGATACTTCCCACTACGAGCAGCCTTCTTATGGATTCGACAAGTCACAAATCTCGACCTAGAAACTCTTGGGAGTATATCAATCAAACAGCTGCAAAAGATGGAGCACGTACGCACCTTGATCATGACTGGATTTTGTCCGGGAGGCGCGGCTCAATGTAGCCTGGCACTGAATATTTGTGTAGCACTGGATGGAATTGGAAGCGGACTCGAGATCCGAATGGCAGCAGAGAACGGATTACTCCATGGGTTCCTCCGGCCTGGGCGGGGAAGATAAAAGTTTCTTAATTCAAACGTTGGGAAACTTTTACCTACCGATCGACCAGAAAAGTTTAATAAAATAACACTTAGTTCTGCCGTGATTATTCTATTTGCACCGGCCGGTCCCAACATTTGAATTCAAAAACTTTACCTACCGACCGGAAAAGGTTCAATAAAATACTAGTACTAGCATTTGGTTCTGCGCGAAGATAAAGTTAAGCAACATCGGGTCACTGCCAAGTCCTCGTGGCACAATCAATATTTTTCCTCGAGCTCCATTCGGCGGAATCGAGATCTAGTTTGCCATCCATTTTTCCTCCGAGGAGTATCCGACGGAGAGTTGACCGATGTGCCCACTGCCGCCGTGACTATAGCTATAATCCCCGACCGCCATGAAGGTAAGATTATACGTACTAGCTTACAAACTGTTGCTGATCTGTAGCCGTTCCCCTCTAGCTAGAACATACAATCCCAAGTGATTTGCAGACCTCAATCGGTTGCTCATCTTGGTTTTCTTCTATTGAGATTTGCAGCAAGAGATCGTGCTGAAGCTAGACTTGCACGGCCGCGTACAGGAGAAGGCGCTCGAATTAGTCACCAAACTCGCTGGTACTACTATTTCTCTGCTTCAGTTTTTTCTGTCCTTCCCATTTTTGTTCTTGAACCCGTTTCTGACGGCTCAGGTGTCGAGTCGGTGACCGCGGACCCGAAGGATGGGAAGATCACGGTCATTGGGGACAATGTTGATGTGCTCGACGCCGTGCAAAAGCTGCGAAGGGTCCACGTGTACGCTACTGTCGCCTTGGTCAAGCAGATCAAGAAGAAAGACTACAGCGGCCAGGAGGAGGAAATTGGTGCCATTCCGTACAGGTTTACAGACAGGTTCTTGAACCGCATCACGAATAATTTCTCCAAGGAGCGCATAATTGGTCGCGGTCGGCGTGGACTAGTTTACAAGGTACTTCCTCCGTCCATATGTTTTTGATATTCCAATATAAACTATGTACAGACTCAAATGAGTGATCAAACACACTAAAACATGTCTATAATCTATATATACACCATAAGATTCACAAAGAATTTGCTCCCTCAGATCCATATTTGTACCAAATCAACAATAATTAATATAAATCGGAGGGAATAAAAAAAATCTTATATTTATGAACAGAAGGGTACTATGTTTATTACCAGTCTCCATGTTTTGGTCAATACAGACCATATTTCATCAGCATGCTGGAACAGTGCGTGCCCGGGTGAGTAGTGAAAGCCTGAGTTACCACACCCGTAAGGGCAACTTCAACGCAGATCACTAAACAAATGACACCAATTCTCAATGGACACATCTAGACGTGTCCACTTACAGCCGGAGAGATACCACCATTCAATCTTAGGCACCGTTCTATACCCGGAGCATTGGAAATAACCAAACATAACTAGCACAATTCTTTCATAATCATATTGTGCAAATATTCCAATGGAACAATAATTTAAATATAAATAGAGAAAAGTCCACTTTTCGTCCCTCAATTCTTCGCTCTGCTCACTTTTGGTCCCTCAACACTCTAAAACCAGACATATTGCACCTCGAACTCTCAAAACCAGCCATTTTTCTTCCCTGCGGGGTTTCGCTGCCGAGTCAACCCGGTTTGGACCACGATGTGAAGAGTGATCTGATGAACAGTAAATTCAAAAACAATAGCAAAAAAATCAAAAAAGTCTGAAATTTTATGATACCGAAGATACTCATATGCGCAAGGTGCGTGCCAATTTTCGTCATGTTTGGATGTTCGAGAAGCTCGCAGCAAAAATAAATAAATAAATAAATCTACTCTACGATGAACAATAAATTCAAAAAAATAGCAAAAAGTAACAAAAAAATCTGATTTTTTTATCATCGAAGATGCTCAGGTGGCAAGGTGCATGCAAATTTTCGTGCTAAAATGGTGTCCGAGGGTTTGGAAACCACCCGAAGCGGCACACACACGTATGCTATTTTATTTTATTTTCACGAGCTCCTCGGATGTCATTTTAGCACAAAACTTTGCATGCACCATGCACACCTGAGCATCTTCGATACCAAAAAAATTCAGTTTTTTTTGAATTTGCTGTTCATCATAGAGTAGATTTACTTCTTTTTTTTTGCCGCGAGCTCCTCGATTGTACAAATATAACGAAAATTGGCACGCACCTGAGTATCTTCGATGTCATAAAATTTCAGATTTTTTTGATTTTATTTGTTTTTTTTAATTTAGTGTTCATCGGAGCACTGTGCACATCATGGTCAAAACCGGGTTGACTCGGCAGCGAAACTCCGCAGGGACGAAAAATGGCTGGTTTTGAGAGTTTGTGGTGCAATCTGTCCGGTTTTAGAGTTCAGAACCAAAAGTGAGCAGACCGAAGAATTGAGGGATGAAAAGTAGACTTTTCTCATATAAATATTACATCCAAACATAACATCTTGAAATAAAATAGTTCAAATTTGAATCCAACTTATCCGGACACATGTTTTAGTTCTCCCTTTGAAGTGCCCACAAATGCTCAATCATGTCATTTTGAATCTGCTCATGAGTTCCTTGATAGCGAATTTGTTGGTGTATTTCAAGAAAATCCTCAAACATCGTCAGATTCTACTCTGGAAGATGGATAGGATCACTCATGTGCGGTAGTGTCGCCCTACCACTATTAGTCTCAGGTTGCGCTAGAAAATAGCATACTGTCATGATGCTGGCGTAATAACAGTTCTCAGACGGCTATATCGTCCGCTATACAATATCACCCTCTATATAAGTGCTTATTATTCTATTGTATTATCTATTTGTGTAAATGTGTCTTGCTTGCATGGCTGCACGGTCAAATATTGTTCATTTATAGTTCATATTCTTATATAAATAATGATTTCTCAAATTAAATGTCATAATTTGTCAATGGTCTAGAAATATACACAACAGTCTCAAATTTACAAGTTTTTTTAATTATGCGGACATAAAGCTCTCAATATCGCCTGCTATTTGCATTCTGCTAAGCGGACCCAATCCGCAACCAGTGTGCTATCCTCTATTTAAAAGCTTGGTCTCAATCCATCGTGTTTCGTTGAAAGTAAACATAAAAAAAAGTTGGCTATGACATTTGGCCGAACAATTGCGCGGGGAGGGGGGATGTATGCCATGGCCTGCATCTACAGGGGTGGAGGGTACCTGAGTGGTGGCCGAATTCGACGTGGGAGTGCAGTGTATGCAAAGCCGGGTGGCCGCACGGATGGACCGGTGGAGGTCCTACAAGGCGTCCAGGATGGTACAACAATGGTGTCGGACTCCGGGAGCATGGACAAAGAGCACGAGAGGATGGACAGAGTGAGGAAAACAGGGCTACTGGTGGGTTTGTTTGGTGGGCTGGGGGTGTTGGAGACCCCCAAACCTTCCCAGGGTTTGGTTCCGGTTTGGGGGATTTCGGATGCCCGGAGCGGTCCAGGCAGATTTGGTGACTGCCATTGGATGGCCCAAAGTGTTTGTATCGTCCGGTCCGGACATTTAAAGGCGATTTGGTGATCTACATTGGAGTTTCCCTTAGGTCAAAAGAAAAGACATCACAGAAACAAGATGCATTCATTGTCTTCTAGGCAAATAACAACAGCTACACCTACTACTACTACACAAATCTTGTAACTGTTGCCAATGCCACATATGATCAACATCATTCCTCAAGAATCTTCTAAACTGGAATACACAAAGCCCTCATTAAAAACAGTAGAACCAGCATAGTTTCACTAAAAATTAAATTATACTTTCTTGCACAAGTAGAGGTGGAAGAAGCAAATAACAATGCATCTTGATCCATTAATTTCTATCATCCATAATATTAAGTGCTTAATAAAAAATATTGCCTGTTAACATTTAGTGACTTAATAGATATGTTTTGACAGGGAATACAGGACAATGGGGAATACATTGCTGTGAAGAAGCTTAATCTCATGTCAGGGCTTGACGATGAGGAATTTAACAATGAGTTTAATAATCTTATGAGGGTCCAACACCAAAATACCGTACAGTTAGTTGGTTACTGCCATCATACAACACAAGTGCTTGCCAAGCACAATGGAAAACATGTTTCTGCTAGAGTGGAAGAAAGATCTCTATGCTCTGAATACTTGCACGGAGGAAGCCTTGACAAGCATCTTTCTAGTATGATTATGCTCTACTTACACTATCATTTTTGCATGTAGGCAATAATCCCTAAACTTTACATCATGGTAATAATACACATTTTGTTTTACTTCTATAGATGAACCATGTGCTCTTGTTTGGCGCACATGTTACAAAATAATTAAGGCACTGTGTGAGGGTTTACATTACCTTCACAAAGGATTCGAGTATCCTATTTACCATCTGGAATTGAAACCTACAAAAGTTTTGCTGGATAAGGATATGATGCCCAAAATTGGAGGTTTTGGTTTTCCTGGACTCTTTGATTCAACAGAAACCTCCAACGCAACAGAAGTTAAAGGAACAAGGTACGTTAGCAATCATGATAAGTAATCAAATTTCTTGTATTGAATTGTTGTGAAGATAAATTATTTGTGTACCATGCAGAGTATACATGCCGCCAGAATACATCAGTAAATGTCAGATCACACCAAAGTTTGATGTCTTCAGTCTAGGCATTATAATCTTGCAAATAATGGCAGGAAAGGAAAGCTACACCAAATGCTTAGATACTTCCCCTGAAGTATTTATTGAGATTGTAAGAAAAATACTCTATATTATGAAGTGTAACAATTTTCACTAATATTAGGTTCTACCATACATCTAGGCATGAATGCCAAGAAATTATGTTTCAACTCTGCAGGTATATGAATACTGGGTAAAAAGGATGCAGCGCACAATATCGAAGCATACTTCACGTGAAGTTAGAACATGCATCGAAATAGCTCTAGAATGCGTGGAGTCCAGTCCAGTGAACAGGCCTACTATAAATCAGATCATACACAAACTGAATAAGATTGATGTTGTTGAGTGCTCATCTGTAGGTCAGCTACATAGAACAAAGGAGTTTCCATTCGAGTTCTTAGAAAATATTACAAATGGTTTTTCTGAGCAAAACATAGTTGGCCGTGGTGGATATGGAGTTATTTACAAGGTATGGTTATTACTTCATCTTCTAACTTACAAATGAACCCTATCGTTAACTACAAGAATGATGTGCCATAAAGACTGAGATTTTTAACAGGGAATGCTGGCCAATGGAGAAGAGGTTGCTGTTAAGAAACTTCATCAAATGTTGTGGATTGATGATGAACAATTTAAGAATGAGCTTAATAATTTAATGATGGTCCAACACAAAAATATTGTACGGTTAGTTGGGTACTGCTACCATACATCACAGATAGTTGTTGAGTACAAGGGGAATCATGTTTCTGCTAGTGTGGTAGAGAGAGCAATTTGTTTGGAATATGTGGAGGGTGGAAGCCTTGACGATCAACTTTCCGGTATGATTCTGCTCTACTTGCACTAAATTATATTTGAATTCCCTACAACATAAAGTGTGAGTCTGTGTG